TAATATAATTTTCTTATAAAGATAATAGTTAATTAGTTTTTTAGAACTCCATAATTATCCTAATTATATTTTAGATTTTTTATATTGTAAAATGAGATGTTTATCCTCTATAAGATTATGTTTATCCGCAGTTAGTTACACGAATTCAAACATGGAGCTTTAATAAATTGTCATTATGCGTAATTTACATGTAACCTTGAATTTTAAGTAATATACATCAATATATAGTACTTCATGCATAAAAAATAGTTTTTAATAGTTTTTGTCAAATGCTTTATAATATAGTATAGCTAAGCATGAAAATAAAACAATTGTTATCAAATTAATCTACAAAGTTTCATTACCAAACAGTGCGTCATTTCCGATGGCTATATCCACCAGTAATACGTCGGAGATCATTATTTCCGACGGATAGGGCCGCCAGAAAGATTGGCGCCGGTGATTAATTTCCTGGCGGATTCACCGGTAGATTTTACCATTTTCCGGCGGATACCGGCCGCCGAAAACTTCCCACCGGTTTATTTAAAAATTCGTGATTAAATTAAGAAAATATTTAAGTTTTTTTAAATGAATTAATTTACCGGCGGACACATCCGCCAGAAAGCCGCCGGTAACCTATCTGCCGGAGAAAGAAATTAATTTTTTAAAAATTATATTTTTAAATTTTAAAAATTACCCGCGGATACATCCGTCGGAAATTAGCCAGAAAAATATATAAATAATAATTTTAGATTATTTTTACAATTAATATTTAAAACCTGTGATTAAAACCTATAAATCTGTAAAGTATTAAAAAAACTAAAAAGACGAAATGCAACTAAATATCATACATTAAAGTAAACGACAATTATCCCAACCATACAAAAACTAAATTGGTCCAAAAACTAAATTGTTACAAACAAAAACTAAATTGTTTCAAACAAACAGACAATATTCAATACGGTGGTGGGGGAAAATGTTGAGATTGACTGAAGGGTTGTTTACTAATCTCTTACCACCTCTTACTCGTTAAGAGATGCTTACTCGGGTAAGAGGTAAAAGTGTTTACCTAACAGCAAAATCAACAATCAGATTTATGGCCTCTGACCGTCCTCTTACCGGAGTCAGCAAAAAAAATGAATTTTACCAGGGTAAGAGGGATGTATTCCTTATCTACCCTCTTCATCTAAAACCCTAAATGGATGTGTTTTTCTTCATACAAACAGGGTTTTGGGCATGTCCGATTCAAGGCAATGAAGAAAACTTCATACAAACAGGCATCCATGTCCGATTACTTTGAAGAAACAAAAACTTCTACCTTCTCTATTAGTTTTTATCTACCGTCGGTGGCCATGTCTGATTCAAGGGGTTGGACGGTGACGGGAGGGCGAGCGGCGGCAGGTCGGGGGTGGCAGAGAGAATCAGGGGAACTAGGGTTTTGGGCAAAGAGAAATAGGTGGGGAAGAGGAACGCCGACACCGTCGGTGGCCATGTCCGGTTCAAGGTGTTGGAGGGTGACGGGAGGGCGGCGACGAAAAAGAGGCAACGGGAGGGCGGCGACGGGAGGGCAGCGACGAAGGGCGGCGACGGGAGGACGGCGACGGCTGCCGGTCTGGAGGTGGCAGAGTGAATAAGGGAACTAGGGTTTTGGGTAAAAAGAAATAGGGTTTTGAGTGGAAATACATATAGATCAAATATAATTGGGCTTAAATGTATCTAGGTTGACATGGGCCTGTGCCTTTTTAATCTTATCCAAATATAATTGGGCTTAAATAATACAATAATTTTCAATAAATATTTATTCCAGAAAAAAGGATATAATGGTCTTTTTTACTCAATCAGCACCTAATACAAAATGTTTGGTAAACAAGAAAATACAATATGAACTTATTTTAGTCAGACCTCTTAACCGAATCAGCACTTAACCAATAAAATTGGTAAACGGCCCCTGAGTTGTCTAACCAAAGCAGTCAATATCTTCAAGTTGTTTATCCCATTGATCCTCCTTCTCTCGCGTCGCTCCTCCTCCATCCGATGTCGCTCCTCCTCCGCCTGCCATCGCTACTCCTCCGCCATCCATTGACGTTGATTTTGTTCCTGTAAGTCTCTAAGTTGGGTCCTTAAGATTTCAATTTCCTATAAGAGGCACATACCCGACTCTCTGAAAACGATGAACCACTTTGTGTGTAGTTCCCGATCAAGACCCAATTGGGATCCTGGTTCTCCCTAAACCCAAATAAACGGCCTTTCTTGCTTCCCCCAACCGCTTGCTCCCACAATTCTTTATCAACTAAGAGATAGGTGTAGGACTCATCATCGTATATTTGGGTGAGACCCGTTGAATAGTCATCCTATATATGGTTTAAAAAATATTACAAGTCAATTTTGACAGCATGACGGCTGTAAATCGAACATTTCCAGACAAAACAATGGTATTACATACGAAAATTGTAGCCAAAACAATCCTAACGTTTGCCCAACAAATGGCAACCCAAACTAAATATTGATACATACGAAATTTCTAAGTTAAACAATTCTAATGTTTGCCCACCAAATAGTAACCCAAACTAGATTTTAATTTAAACGTGTTAGGACTGAAAATCAGTGTAAAATTATATTCGTCTTGAAAGATAAAATTGTCTATAATTGTAGAAAAGTCGTCGTGTTTGACTTTTCTTAGATAGTTTGACTTTGACCATTTGTGTATTGTTTGACCCTATAAATAGGGTGAGGTCTTTATAATCTTGGTTAGAGCTCATTGTAAAATCATATTCACGTAATATAGAGTTTGACTAGATTTGTAGATCTTGACTTTCTCTCTCTCTACTCCTTCTAGTATTCTTTCATGATAAACATTCTGCCATTGTTGAATTGAAGAATCAAATGAAGATTGATTGATTGTGGACAAACAATTGGAATCAGAGCGCGTTTGCAGGAAATAAAAAAATAAAGTAACGTATGCTTCTGTTAAGACTCAAAAAGATAAACCGTGTGGACTACACAAATTTATCAGACTCAATTAGTGATCAAGAAGACTTGAAGGGGGACATATATCCTTCTGATTCAATTTCAATTTTCTCCGAATGAGAAAATGATAGTTGATGAGCTGCGTGCCCCAAGTGTTATTGAAACACTTATCTGTTGAGAGATAAATGAGTAGCTGGTGGAGTTGTGACAAAAATTGGCCTGAGCTTTGCCTTTTTCAATATTAGTCTCGAAAGAATTGAGAACTAATAGATTGTGTGGTATGCCCGGATTTTAGAAGTTTGGAACAGGATTCTTATATTCTTTTAATCTTGACACAACTCTCGTCAATTCTTTTAGCTCACAACAACTACCCCTCTCTTTTTCATTTTAATCTCAGCACACAAACTGTTAGGACTGAAAAATCAGTATTAATTGTATTCGTCTTGAAAGTTAAATATTGTCTATAATTGTAAAAGTCAGCGTGTTTGACTTTCTTATAGAAGTTTGACTTTGACTTGTCTTTGTTAGT